CTGTCTTGGTCTTCCCACGTTTTATTGTTATCAAAGAAGGTTTTCCGTCTGACCTATTACATGCTCTTGGGATTACTCGTCATTTACTCTTACAATTTGTCAATTCTTGCATATTACCTATCATTCTTTGCTGTTCTCCATTATTCTTTCCCGGGCTTTTGAGAAAAGACTTTGCTGTTTTGCGGAGAGTGCTGAAGGCAGTTAGCAAGATGTGTGGTGAATCTTTCGAGGTCATAATTAATATGGTTGTAGATAGACATCTAAAGTCATACAAACTCCTGGCACGTGTTATTTTATCAGATACTAACCACCCCCTTCACTCCTATCTTTCTCCTTGTATATCTTCTGGTAGAACGAGACGTAATTACATTAAAATCCATGCACGCAAGCAAAAGTATAAAAGTTCTATAATACCTTACCTGGCAAATATACTCTGTGACGAACAGGTTGTTAGAGTTAACCCAGTCAATAACCTGCTTTCTTAACATGTCTCTAATTTGAAAAGTTGTACAGTTTTTTGGATTTTTTAAAACCCTTTTTGTCTTTGTTTCTGTTTTTTTGTGTAAGTAACTTGTTGAAATAACCTGTGCTGAGATTTCTATATTGTACCAAAATATAATATTGAATAAAGCCATTAATAATAATAATACATATTAGTTTGAGTCAATACGACTTTTTTTATATTTCAAGTACATTATCACATGCTATTACTATTTTATTTGTATTTCTTTTGTTCTTATTCACTCATAAACATATCTTCTTCCTTGAAAACAGGAGTTGTTTGAATGAGTTTCGTTTTTAGTGGTTTATGTGTTGAACAACTTACATTTTTCTCAACTTAGTTTTTCAATATACCATAAGTAATGTTACAATCAAGCGAACGCTAACGTTTATTTTGGGATTAGGTAACAGATTATGTTGGTTTTTACGTTGTTTGACTAAGACAGATGTTCAGTATGCTGTTTTAGTTGTATATTGTTCAGAATCTAATGTAATTTTCGTAATCCTTAGAAGTTATGCGTCATGTGTAATTTTAATTATACTAACTGAAAAGCTAAATATGACTCCGGTTTTGTTTTAGTAAATCGTGGATTTAGTTAAGTTTAGTTCTGTTTGCAACACAATAATGTATTCTTTGTTGTCCATGTGTTGATAATTAACCTTCAGATGTTTGAGATAATTGATCTTCAAGGTGTTTGGTTTCTCTTCATATACCAATTAATATAATTTCTCGATCCGAAGAAAACATCATAGGTTTTTGTAGGTTAATAAAGTAATGAACACAACTACGAAGATGAATATCAATAAAAAGACCACTTTTGCTCGCTCTCGTTACCTACCTAAATGTCCATCATAAGTACCTAATTACAAATTCATTTCACATCTCCTTATTCCTCTCTTCCGTTTTATCTTTATTCCGTGTTTACTTTTATTTTCCAACATGCACATCACTTCTGTGGTGGAAATTTTGTCCTATCTACTCTAACTCAAGTCACTAACTGGTTAGAAGTCGACTGCTACTACCAAATACGGATCCTTAACCAGTCTTACTGAAGCTACGTGAATCACTCAAACTAACTACTTCAACGTCCGCACACTAATGTAGATCGGACAATAGTTGAGGTTGGCTATGTCTTTGAAGCGTCTCAATATCGATGTTTGTTGTCTATCCGATACCTGCAGTTAAGACCAGCAGGGTTCCGCGAATTCGCTCTCCATATGTTGATTCGACAGGCTTATTTCATATGCATTTATCTGGGGACTAAGAGGTACCTTCATTCGGTTTGGCTGGCGTTGGTGTCTCATTAAGCACCATAGCAAAGGCAGCACCAATCGATTGAACCTCTTCTAATGGTCGATTATCTGCCGTTAGATGCGAAAGCCCTATCAAAATGTGAAGAGACCGGTGTGAGAAACTGTCTGTTCGTTATCGCAGCCTACATCCTGACAGATCACAACCTGGAATCAATCAAAGATGAACCCTACCACCAGTTAAGCAATCTCCGAGGTGCGTGTTCGGTAGATACTGAGGTGTTAGCCAGAGATGTAAGTGCACAGGTGGCGGTTCTAGACGCAGAAGATTCGTTTGGATAGCCAATGCCGAATCGTTGGTCGCAAGTCAGATAACGATGACCTACACCTTTAGCTATATGCAGACCACAATCTGTCTATGGCCACTACTAACTTTCGGGACAGTCATTGCCAATGCGCTACCTGGAGTCCTCCCTCTACATCTCAGCACTGGACTCAGTTTGATGAAATCGCGATCAACTACCGCAGGCGTGGTCGTGTAAAAAACTGCCGCTCCTTTTGGAGAACTTACCTGGAATACAATCATACCATCGTTTGCGAAAATCTTATCTTACGTTTTATCGGCCAAGTACATCATCAAATGGATTGATGTAAACAAGCCGGCTTCAGCTTCCGTTCCAGTCAAATATCGAACTGAGCTACGTTCAAGGCCAGTTATCAACTAGATGAGCACTGGCTGTATTCGCATGACGCAATAAAAAGTGGTGATTAAAGTTGCTCGAGGTTTACATAGGTGAATCGGTCTACTCCCACTAACCACGAGTTTGAGATGGGTCCTTACATGAAGAAATTTTGCTAATTTTGCGTGAGGGTCAAGAAGCCTGGTGGTTGGAGCGTGCTGTCTAGTTGAACAAGCGTCTGCATATGATAACTACCGGAAGCTCTTCTAACTCATCCGAACCACTGGCAGCAAAAAATGTGTGAGGGAAATAACATATGGAGCTGGTAGGGTGCCAATCAATATCACCCACCAATGTCTTAGGAGATGGACTTAGTTCTTCTGCTGCCCCGGCGGAATCGGTTAAACCGTCTTGTCCTCCAATGCCGACGATTCTCCTAGCGATTCAGAAGTTTTCATGGAACTCCAGCATTCGAATAACATTAAGTCATGAAACCCAGAACATTTACTTTCAGGCCTTTTTAAGGACGGTCGAGAACCTCTAGTCATGAAACTGACTAAATTGTTTCGAAGGGTTTGGGAATTAGAATGTTTCAATATCCTAGAATTAAGCGACAGTTCCCTACCTTTAGAATGGCTCACGCCATCTGCGCAACAACTATTGAACGGTAAGTCTACTTCCAATTGGGTCCAAATTATCGACATATTGTTCAGAACCCTCGAATGATTGATTCGAGAGGAACAGGATGGTTTTGTTCTGGTTGAGGATGTATCGATCATGCTCCGCTAAATGTCAGATCACAGCCGTACTTATTGAAGGCGAAGCATCGTTTTTTCCCCGATATCAGGGTCGCCTTTTATTCATTGAACAACACTGTCCTCTGTGATTGTTTGTTGAAGGAGGGTGTGTTTGTGAAGCTCATTGACATTGAAGACACTGTGTAGAAACACCTCAGTCAGTTTGAAAGTATACAACTACCTCTCCACCTAACTCCATCCGAGTAGTTGGGTTAGATAGAGTTGCCCAATCTCACTATTCATGTCCAACTCTGCCTAAAGTCACATTCTGGAAACAGCTCTGATAGAAGTATGTATTGGTGATGCGTATTTGTTGCCTGAAGAAAAACTCTTCCACTTTGAGTATGCGGATGATGTAGTCTTACTGTGCGAGGATATCTATGCTGTGCGATTCGCACTTGGTTGGAAGTGTCCGTAGATATGGTACGTGCTCTGCACCTAAGTGCAAAACACATCTACGGGACTGACGAGCCTGTACCTGCACTCACTCTTGGAAGTGGGCGGTTAGACGTAGTCGACAAGTCCGTGAATTCGGGTAGCTGTTTAAGTTCAGGTGATGATACTAATTTACGTATAGTGAAATACAGAGTGACTTATCTCAAACTGGGGCATCTCTGGTGCCTTTGTGATGTTGGTCTTGCTGTAAAAGGTCGAGTTTACAACGCGTTCTGCTGTATGGTCGTGAAACCTGGCTTCCGAGTTGAGGATCTTAAGTGATTATCGTTGTCTCTAAAGATTTCTGACATTCAGTGGCAACACCATGCTAGCAGCACAGGTTCGGGGATGTGTGTTCGATTATAGTGACAGCAATCCGATTGGTGTCACCATCTTGAAACAGCGACTTTGGTGGCTTGGATATGCACTACGAATGTCGTTCCATGTCGTGCATCATTTGCCAACGCTGAGACTTGTTGGAAAGAGCGGAGGTGTGGTCGGTGTATGACATGATGCTGCAGTATGAAGTAATGCTCTACAGGACTATCGTACTTTTCCAAACCGATAGCGTTAACGAAGCTGCGTAACAATTGTTTCGTCGTAATTTGGGACTTCTGACCATGTACACTATTAACTGAAGCTAGGAGTCATCGGCCATCAGAATTCATCTACTCTCAAACCTGAAATTGGATGTTTAAAAGTCTGAAATCAAGATTAAACGTACACTTATAATTTTTAATAAAACATATCTTCAAAATACTTGACTTTGCAAAACAACCATCTTTTAGTAACAATAAATCTTCTGTGAATGAAACTTTGAGGTACACTAACGTTAGTACCTTTAGAACCAAATGTTTTTGCTCTAAATCAAATACGATTAATCCCGTTTTCTTAACCTCTGTGTACTGTAAATGACCAACATTTAGTTAATTAAAGTTTCAGTTCGTAGTTTAACTTCACTCCAGGACTTCGTACACTCGGTATACTTCAAGTCATTCCACTAAAGACTCAGCAATAGGATTATTCATAATTAAACAAATATATTTTGCACTAAGAGGAGCATCAGGTTATTTGGATTGAATATAGCAAACCTAACAAGTACAGCTGGTTCATTTTTCCTATCAGATTTCTCGTGAATATGTTTATGTGAATCAGTAGTCGCAGCCTTTAGCTGATCCTGCTTTCATATTGTCACCAAGATATTGGAATAAAGGTTTCTTCTATTTCGAAACTTAATCTAGTCAAGTACTAGTTGTAAGGTAGCCATATGTATCTTTTTTTATTTTCAGAATCTGTTAGGGACTTTAATGCGTGTTTGTTTCACTTTTTAAGGACTATGGCATCTAGTGAGGAATATCCTTCGCAATCAGGAAGTCTACCACTTCAGTTATCAGCTAAACGGATTTCCAAAGCTCGTAAATCTTGTTCCGGAGATCACCAAAATTCCAGTCCGGTTAGCAAAAATCATATTGACGATCCGAACAGCATTATCATCACTCCTTCCATTGATAGTCGAGAAATTGATCGTCTAAAATTCACTAACCCAGGTAGACAGATGGAAGAACTAGAAGTCGGTTGGTCCGAAGCAAATATGACACGAAGTGTTCGCAGACAAATGACCTTTAAATCTGGTCACAAATCATCAGAGTAAATTAATGTCTTATGATAGTCAATTTCCATTGTGATTCTGAGTCACTAACAGTTTTATTTTTTTAGCTTCAGGATGTGTTGTTGTATACATTTGATTGGCATAAGCGTTTTAAATTTTTTTAAACATTCTACACCTGTGTTTGTATGATTAACCCATAACAAGAATGAGGGAAATTATATTATTCATTTGAAGACCATTTAAGTCATCCAATATTCTTCAATACTTTATTATTGGACAATCGTCTTCTGATTATTGTACAACACTTTAAAATACAATAGTTTTGGTTTTCTTCGTTCATCATGAATCAATTGATTGTTTTCGGATTATACTCTTTAAAAATATCGCTTTATAAACCCAAGTGTTTTGCTTTTTGCATTTCTAGAAATCTAGTTGTATGCACTATGAATCGGCTACTGTTTAATCAAATGAATGTCAATACAGTGAATAAGTAGATAATCTGCCGAAGCTTCACTTATAGTCGTTGTAATTAGACGGGTCTGAGATCCGTTGTTTGTTGAACTATTTCGTCCTCATATTTCATCATTTGGTTGCTAACTAGTTCTTTTCTTATTGACCGATGAGATTGCAAATGTCCGAGAAAACTGTATTGGTCATTCTGGCATTTGTTCGCGCTCAATATTAAGTGTTGTTAGTGGTTTTATCTCAGTAAATTATTGTTGGGTTCACTCGGATAGTGCATACAAGAGCGATTGGAGTCAGACTGTCTTAGCTCCAGATTTTTCAAAATATTACTTACGTGTATTTTACTAAGTTTAAATTCAAGGAAGTGTTCAGCATAAACCAACATTTCACTGGTCGAACTTTTCTCCGACATGTTATCCAAATGTCATACCTCCACAACTAATGCGAAAAGGATTTCGACCACTCTTCGTGTCACTGTATTCACACTGACTTCCACCGTATCCTCCAGAAGTCGTGTTTTCTTGTTCACCTTGTCCAAGTTCACCGAAAGCTCCCTGTGCAATTTAATTTATGCCTCTACATTTCCGTTTCTTGAATGCACTATATCCGCCTTGACTAATTTAACCTCTGTTTACAGAACCTCTATAACTTCATCCAGGACCCAAAATGCCATTATGACTAACACAGGCCACTGGTTACAGAAATGGATGGTTGACCATTTCTCGTTAACCATATTCAAGAGGTGCGTTTCCACTTGTTGTTCCATCTTTGGAACGAGGTCTTCGATCACGAACTTTGAGGATGTGCCCACTATTCATGACCACAATGTCACTACTTATCATATACGGAATGCCATGTTTTTACCTGTTTGCGCCAAGTATTCCTTGAGTCAAGCTTTTTAGAACAGCCAGCTCGGGCTATCTACAGAATAAGCCTAACTCTCGCGAATCAATATGTGGAAGTCAATTATATTATTGTCCTCGTTCACATCCCTTTAAGAGTACTCATTTCGTCTTACACAGCATGAAATTCTCTCGCTATATATTATGCATTTGCTCGCAAAGTTTGAGAGTCATTATATCCTTTACTTGCTTGAAACCTTTCCTCATATTCTTTCAAAAGATATGCAGGTCACATTTAACAATCAGCATCCGTTCAACGTATTTCCTTTCGGAAATATTCAGCCTGGTACTATTCGAAGACCACATTTTAAAACATTATTTCCCTACCTTTTCCAACCATTATGTCCCAAGAATAAAAAATCCAATAGGAGCATCGATCGTTTTGCGACAAAATGCTCTAATTTCTGTAATCGACTATTTTGTTTGTTTCTCGGATTGTCTCGTTTCATGGTAGATGGCCAGATTTGCTCTCCATCGGCTGTGCAAACTTAAGTTTTGATGGGACGACGCAGTTTGTAGAGAAGGACATAAAACATGGACGAAGTGGATAGCGGAAGCAATACATCTACAACGTATTGCTCTAACAAGGTCGTTAAACTCAACAAGCTATTCTACAATCGAACTTCGAATGTTCAGTGATGCTTCAAGGGATAACTGTGGAACAGTAGGATCTTTATCGCTGACTGATGAACGAGAAGGTCGAGCTTACCGACTAGTGTTTGCTGAAGCCAGATCAGCACTTATCAGAGTGATAAAGGACCATGTCTTGCTCGGGCAGAGGGAGTTCGCTGGTAAAGATCTCAAAATTAATCTGTAAATAAATGACCATCACTGTATCCAGGATAGCGTACTAGACTCTTACCTATGGTGCTCTATAATATAAATAATTTTTTTGAGGAAATTTCCAATAATTTTGTTAATAGATTATTGTGCATGCAATTAGAGTATTTTCATTTGTCGATGTAATGATGCTTTTTCAACAAAGATATATTAACATAGTATTTATTGGACATGTGAATAGTAGATAGTTCACTGTTGCTGAGCATCTGGTGCACAAATGGTGTGGTATTGACAAATATGCTGTCAGTAAGTTCGAGAAAAGGCTTCTGAGATGCATAAAAGTTCTAAGTATGTTTGGATAAATTAAAGTATAAACACAAACGTGTTATCACTTGATACAAGCAGCTACAACGCCGTAGACCCCTCGGACCATGAGAATCTTATTAATAAGATGGGCTCAACTACAATTACGTTTGCGCCAACCCCGGTTGGTACGGTAACAATATGTTTGACAAGAGGCCCAACGTGGTGTTATATTAATGTGGGTAGGTGATAGAAGTGAAGTATATAAATTGCATGACTAATTCTGATTATACTCTCTTAGAAGCTTTAAATAAAATGGAGCCTTCATTAATACCATTCCACTTTTGAGCATAGGCGCAAATGTAACAACCACCGATATGAATCAGTGATAAAATGTTCCAAAAACCATAACACGAGTAAACAGTTAGCGATCAGCAGAAGGTATGCCAACAAATATTCAATACTTCAAATATATTTTGACTGGTTTTTTTTGTTTCACTAGTACCATCAAATATATGTTGATTCCAACCTTATAAAATTGGGAATGTCATTTTAAAATAGAAGTGTGACTAAGACTGGAAGAAAGATTTATTTGCAAACGAGGAGACACTAGAAAAATTGGGAGGAAGAACAAGTGCGACCAACAGACTGTTCGAGTTATAAAAGAGATAGTGGCTATTAGTGTGATAAAAGGCATTAGATGCGAGCGAGATGAAAGTACATTTTTCCGTTTCTTTTTCCGACCTGAACTAGGTTATTCTAGCTTGTCTATTAATGCACTTTTTATCACGAAGATTAAATATTTTCTCTGGTCTATTTGTTACCTTCCTTTTTTACATCTACTATTAACAGTCGGTTGCATCCGTTATACGATTCTCGTGGCCGCCTTTTAGGAACTTTAGAATACAGTTGTGATTGTCTAAAATCTGAATGTCCTGGGTGCCATTTGCCATGTCGTAGGTGCCATTCTACGTTTTGTGGAGCATCATGTCGAATTTATCGAACTTATCGTGTTAATGAAGTAAGTTCCTAATCGTTTCATATTAACGTTTTCCTCATTCATCGAAAGGTTATTTTATTCAAGCTATTACAATTTTTAATACTTTTTTAAATTGTATTCGAGATAAGTCTGATGTTCGTTGATTTATCTTCTTCCACAGTTCGTTTGCTATCGGCAATTTGATAGTTGACGTACTCGGCGCTTAGCCATTTGACTACAGACGTGGAACCCACCTCAGCTACTATGAATCGTATCACAAAAAATATCCCATTACCTTACAGAAATTTGTATTCGAAAGGGGAATTGCAGGAACGTGTATTTGATTATTGAGTTCCATTAATAAAATTTATCTTTATGTAAATATCATTTAGTTAATACAACTGTTAGTGACATTAATGGTTTAAAATACAGTGCAGTCGTGATCGAAATTCCTTTAATTGAGTTATAAAGTGGATAAAACGTATGTTAAAGAAGCAGAGCAAACTGTGTTGGACGCTTCTTTGTGGGATTTAAGCTACCCTGACAAGTAACTTTCAAAAGAAGTCCTTTAACAGCAGATATCTTCCCATCGCCTGGTCTATCAACATATATTTCAATCGTATCACCGGTTTTATTGTGTAATAAAATCGACTGATAATAAATAAGCCTTGCTTAAAACTAACAACGTTTATCTTGTGGTGGTTTATTATATACTAGATGACAATTTTGAAAGTGAAAAGTCACTGTATTGACTACTGAACTCAATTTTGAAAATAATTTCCGTTCACATGTGTTTTTATCACACCCGATGATGTTTTGGTTGTTGGGATTTGGAGTGTGAGCTATTTTCTGTTGTTTATAACTTGATATTTCTGTTTGACCTGAAATTTCAAATTAACGTATATTCATTCTAATGTACATTCATTGTCCAAATACTCTAATATTTATAATCATTTTGTTATGAAAGTATTGAGTTAGTGACTATAAGTTCATCTCGTGATAGTATTAATCGCAATTCTAATTTGGGTATATTCAGTTGGAAATGTTTAAGAAGGATGATAAGCATTTCTTAGATCTAGATTTAAACCATAAGCAAAATATGTTTTGACTTATTATGTTTAACTGATAACATTATCATTAAATTGAATCTAGTTCATGCAAATTTCCCTACTTGGAGGTTATTGTTTATGGTCCTGTAGTGACCTGGTCTGTTTGGACTTCATCATTGTTACTGACTTCTCTTTAGCTGGAAAAACTAGCAAATAGCTGTTACGTTGAGACAGTAACTTGATAAATTTATGTGTCTGTACTTACCTAAAAATAAAGGAATATTAAGCAACTAAATCTTGGTCTCTAATTCTATTAGTTACTTTGTATTTGTTTGAACAGCTATTTCTCAACTCTTTTATCCATGTACGTTTTAGGTGTTTATACAAATATTTGTTTATTTGTCTAACAAACTATCTGCTTGTATTAATATATCAGATTATAATTTTTCTATTCATTCAATATCATTGCATTGGATTGGACGATTGACCGATTGATTATTTGGATTAATTATATTCTGAACATAATAATACTCTTGTCGTTATTGTGTTAATACCACTGTGGTTATTTTTTAATTAGAAATGCGACTAGGAATTCGAAGTAATTGATACAAAAAGCACACTCCATATATTTGTGGCAATGAGTAGATTTTTTCCATGTTAAAGATTACCCCAAAAATCCTGGCATTGCTTTTCAAAGCTGAATGCTACAGTTAAGTACCTCTGTATTCAATCCTAATTTGACATATATATATATATATATATATATATATATATATATATATATCACATCGAATGTTTGAGACAAAATGAGTAGATTACTCCCTCATGGTTGTTCAACTGAAAATAATTAATGATTAGGATCATCAAATATACTCCCTTTCGTGCTCGTTAAACTGAGACATAATTTTTTACATTTTTGTTGTTGAAAATCACTAAATTTAAATAATAATGATGGACTACTGATGTACTGATATTTCGCAAAATGTAAAAGCTCACTCATGAGACTCACTAAAAATTAACAGTTGTTAGAAAACCGTGTTCATATTATCGGAGAACTCTTGCTTCAAAGTTAGCCATCCCTTACCAAATGATTTGAATCCCAGTATGAAGAAATACCTGGTATTGTATTTGGCATCTGGTATTTTCCTCATCCTAAGGATATTTGTTCATTTATAAAAATCGGTAAGACTATAAACCCATCTAATTCAACAGCAGTCTTTTGTTTCATACACATAGTTCCCTTTATTATCTTAAATAGAGCAAGAACAAAGATTGGCGCAGAATAATATGAATTCATTTTATTTCGTTAGGTTCTCATCAGCAATCAAACGTTTAAAACCAGATCTATGTATACAAAAAGAGACAGTAATAAATCTTTCTTTACCCTGGTAACAATAATCCCCACCCTTTCTATTCATTTACTCCTATTTATTTATTTATTACGTCATTCCCCATCTTCCAACTCTTTCTGAAGTTTAAATTACATCATACATAAATGATTGGTTTTAATTCATATTTTCTTTATTACTATTAATCTATTTTCATGAGTTCTAATCACTATTTCAATGTTCCAGAACTTTCCCTCTCTAACTTTATTTATTTATTCGAATCAAACATTTTATGAGCTCATTAACTCTATATGAATATTTTCTACATCATCATACACATGTATTGATCCTTAATCACAACACTCTTATGTATAACAAATGTCAATATCTGTAATAATGTTGAATTTTAAATAATTTAGGATGTAAGCAGCTGATGAGAACCTAACGAAATAAAATGAATTCATATTATTCTGCACCAATCTTTAGTCTTTTGTTTGTTGAATCGAGTTAAACAATTTTAAGTTATCTTGTTTACTTTCTCGTCTTTATTTTAGGTTAAACTGTTTATCTGACTTCATGAGTTCAATCGTTTGTCGATATCAACCACTACAGTTTCTAACCATCTTTTTTTTCCAAATAAATTATTATTATTATTATTATTATTATTATTATTATTATTATTATTATTCAATGAGAGTCTTATATTTCTTCGTTTACTTAAAATATCGATTATCTTAGAAAAAAGCGTGTGTATTTTCCGAATATGGCATTAACATTTTAATTGTCTTCGCTCAAGCATACTGCCATTTCTTTATCATGATTATTATTCATCCCTTCATTAAAGTTATAATGAAAAGTGTTTAATTACTTTGCAGGACATATTTCTCTGTGTGGACTGTTCATCTGATAACTTATGACAAATATTAATTGAAGGAATGTTTAACAACTGAAAGTACCACTAAATTATTTACATTCTTTCTTACAAAATTAATAGTTATTTTATATGTTTCGTACGTTTAATGTAGTCTTTTGTACTGGTTTCGATTGTTTAGCGTTCACTGAATAAAAGTCGTTTTTTCGAACTACTTTATGTCGTTATGTAAGCTGTTTATCTTGCTTAACATTATCATATTCAAAGGAAATTGAAAATTTTTTCTCAGAGCTCGAAGTTTAAGAAGAATTTTGAAAAAGAACTTAATATAATTATGTGCGTTGTTAATTATGTTGTTCAGATTTGGACCTGAAAAGTTCACGAAATCATCACCAACCTATTTTTAACTCTACTAGCTCTAAAATGCATATATATATATATATATATATATATATATATATATATATATATATATATATATATATATATATATATATATATATATACCATTTACTAACGCAAATTTAGTTGACTTTCAGTGTTCAGTCAAACCTCTATATGAAATCGAAGTTCACCTTATATCCTATGTAAAGGTCTTCCGATTTCTGATCGTAACCGAAAACACATAATCCAGATTATTACCAAGGTAATGATAGTACTGAGTTTGTTATAAAAATCCTGTATACGAATTCTTTTAAGAAACAGTGAGAACCTGTAATAAATGATACACTGTGAACTATAATTCCTTACACACTTCGTCAGACTTCGTTGCGTCTAAGAAATTCGTTTTTGCTCCCTCTATTTTAAAATAAATAACAAAGCTAATTCTTAATTACATAGTCCTGTTACCCCTCATAATGGAGCATAGGCAGCCCATCAGCATTCTTCACTCAACTCTCTGCTCCACAACCCTTTCCAGTTGTTATTCATCCTTATCATATCTGCTTCCGCTTCCCGACGTAGTGTGTTCTTTGGTATTCTTCTTTTCCGTTTCCATTCAGGATTCCAAGTTAGAGCTTGCCTCGTGATGCAGTTTGATGGTTTCCTCAATGTATGTCCTATCCACTTCTAACGTCTTTGCTTAATTTCCTCTTCAGCTGGGAGTTGGTTTGTTCTCTCCTACAGTAGACTGTTGCTGATGGTATCCAACCAACGCACATTGAGTGTCTTGCGTAAACAATTGTTTATAAATACTTGTACATTTTTGATGATGCTTGTGGTAGTTCTACAAGTTCCAGCTCCGTACAGTACAACTGTCATGACGTTCGTATTGAGGATTCTGATTTTGATATTGGTTGACAGTTGTTTTGAATTCCATATGTTCTGCAACTGTAGAAATGCTGTTCTTGCTTTGCCAATCCTTGCCTTCACGTCTGCATCGGATCCTCCTTGTTCATCAATGATGCTTCCCAGGTACGTGAAAGATTCCACATCTTCCAGAGTTTCTCTATCGAATGTGATTGGGTTGGTGTTCTCCATGTTGTATTTGAGGACCTTACTTCTTCCCTTGTGTATACTGAGGCCTACTGATGCAGAGGCTGCTGCTACACTAGTTCGTGTGTATGGAATAGGAGGGTTAGGTCATCTGCGAAGACCGAATCGTCTAATTGATTTTGAAATGTCCATTGAATTGCGTGCTTCCCCTCAGATGTGTAGGTCTTCATGATCCAATCGACCACCAGGAGAAAGAGGAAACGCGAGGGTAAGCAACCTTGTCTGACACCGGTCTTTACTTAGTATATGTCTGTTAGCAACCAACCATCCAAGACTTTGCAGTGTAGTCCATCGCAAGAATTCTGCCGTACGATCCTGAAAATCTCAGCTACACCATAGTGTCGAAGAAGAGTCCATAAGGTTCTCTTATCCATGCTGTCAAATAGCTTCTCATAGTTACAGAAGTTGATGTATAGTGACGAGTTTTATTCAATTGATTGCTCAACGATGATCGTTAGTGTCGCGATTTGGTCTGTGCACGACCGATCCCTACGGAATCCGGTCTGTTGATCTGGAAGTCGGGTGTCTACTGAATCTTTCATCTGGTCCAGCGACACTGTTGGAAACGGTTCCTGGTACTGATAATAGTGTGATGTCTCTGTAGTTCTCACTTTTGCCCAGATCTCGTCTTTTTGGTATCTTGATGAGATATCCTTCTTTCCAGTCTGTTGGTGGCACTTGTTCTTCCTCCCAATTTTTCTAGTGTCTCCTCGTTTGCAAATAAATCTTTCTTCCAGTCTTAGTCACACTTCTATTTTAAAATGACATTCCCAATTTTATAAGGTTGGAATCAACATATATTTGATGGTACTAGTGAAACAAAAAAAACCAGTCAAAATATATTTGAAGTATTGAATATTTGTTGGCATACCTTCTGCTGATCGCTAACTGTTTACTCGTGTTATGGTTTTTGGAACATTTTATCACTGATTCATATCGGTGGTTGTTACATTTGCGCCTATGCTCAAAAGTGGAATGGTATTAATGAAGGCTCCATTTTATTTAAAGCTTCTAAGAGAGTATAATCAGAATTAGTCATGCAATTTATATACTTCACTTCTATCACCTACCCACATTAATATAACACCACGTTGGGCCTCTTGTCAAACATATTGTTACCGTACCAACCGGGGTTGGCGCAAACGTAATTGTAGTTGAGCCCATCTTATTAATAAGATTCTCATGGCCCGAGGGGTCTACGGCGTTGTAGCTGCTTGTATCAAGTGATGATAACACGTTTGTGTTTATACTTTAATTTATCCAAACATACTTAGAACTTTTATGCATCTCAGAAGCCTTTTCTCGAACTTACTGACAGCATATTTGTCAATACCACACCATTTGTGCACCAGATGCTCAGCAACAGTGAACTATCTACTATTCACATGTCCAATAAATACTATGTTAATATATCTTTGTTGAAAAAGCATCATTACATCGACAAATGAAAATACTCTAATTGCATGCACAATAATCTATTAACAAAATTATTGGAAATTTCCTCAAAAAAATTATTTATATTATAGAGCACCATAGGTAAGAGTCTAGTACGCTATCCTGGATACAGTGATGGTCATTTATTTACAGATTAATTTTGAGATCTTTACCAGCGAACTCCCTCTGCCCGAGCAAGACATGGTCCTTTATCACTCTGATAAGTGCTGATCTGGCTTCAGCAAACACTAGTCGGTAAGCTCGACCTTCTCGTTCATCAGTCAGCGATAAAGATCCTACTGTTCCACAGTTATCCCTTGAAGCATCACTGAACATTCGAAGTTCGATTGTAGAATAGCTTGTTGAGTTTAACGACCTTGTTAGAGCAATACGTTGTAGATGTATTGCTTCCGCTATCCACTTCGTCCATGTTTTATGTCCTTCTCTACAAACTGCGTCGTCCCATCAAAACTTAAGTTTGCACAGCCGATGGAGAGCAAATCTGGCCATCTACCATGAAACGAGACAATCCGAGAAACAAACAAAATAGTCGATTACAGAAATTAGAGCATTTTGTCGCAAAACGATCGATGCTCCTATTGGATTTTTTATTCTTGGGACATAATGGTTGAACAAGTTAGAAAAGTAATGTTTTAGAAATCTTGTTTTCTTCTGTCTATCCAACCTTTGCCTTGACTTTCTCTGCTCCTGTTCCGGTGTTGTTAATTTCTTATTCTTCTTCTTCGTTTCTTAAATCGTGTTTAGGACTCGTAAAGGTTCATTCGTTATGATGATGCTTGTTGCGGTCGAGCACCTCCTGACACGTCGAAGTTAATGCTTCTTTGATCCCTTTTCAATCGTCCTTCATAGGCGTTTTTTCTTCTTTCATTTTATCCTGTATGACTTGGAATCTGTTGTTGAGAGCTATCTTGAGTTCCTTTAGTTTGTCAGTATCTCGAAGGATGGCTCTATTGAACCTTTGTAATACTGTTCCCCATGTTGTTCAGTGCTTCCTTAGCTTCAGTTTTATCTTGCCAACCATCAGGTGGTGATCTGAATCTATATCAGCTCATCATCTGGTTCTCACTTTATCTATTGTCCTCCTGATACTTTTATTGATATAAATATGATCTATCTGGTTCTCTGTGGTGTGATGCAGCGAGACCCATGTAGCTTTCTGTATGCGTTTGTGTTAATATTGTGCCGCCGATAACTAATTTGTTGAATGCACATAGGTTTGCGTTTCTCTCTCCTAGTCGATGTCGTCTCATGCTATCTTCGTATCCGTTGTTGTCCATTACGACTCTGGCGTTTAGATCTCCCATCATGATGGTGAGGTTTTTTCTTTGTCACTTCGCTATGATCGATTGCAACCTCTCATAGAAGTGATCTTTATTGTCGTTGTTGCTATCAGTGGTGGGTGCACAAAATCGGATAACATTCATTGTGATTCTGTCGTTCTTTGTTTTGAAGGATGCATTGACGATCTTTGATCCATGAGATTCCTACACAATAAGTTCATTTCGTGCTTGTTTGGACAGCATCAGAACAATTCGCTTAGTGTGTGGAGCATTTTCTTCTTCTTCGCGGTTCGAGTACAACAGCATTTCATGCTTTGTTTTAAAACATTCACCAGTCGTGTTCGTACTCAGTGAAATTCGTTCATAAACCACTAGAGTTTCTCTCGGTCTTCATGCTGGTTCACTCATAATTGATGGAAATCGTTTTTGGGAGGTCGTGAGATTTTGTCTTATAATTTACAAGTAGTAGTAC